TAGGATGTAACTCTTGCCACCCCAGAAGGTGGGTAGCAGTGAGGGATGGTTTCACTTCCATTCACCAAGAGGGTGTGGGGTATAAGTCTAACAAGGGGAATATCACACCTTTCCAATTGTTGGTGTCTGGAATGTCCTTGTGGTCCCTGGCAAGGGAGCCTATTCTTAGGTCCCTGTAATCTGAGAGAACGCTGTTGCTTTAAATATCCAAAATGATTGGACCACTTGTAAACATTCAAAATGGCTGTGCCCTCCTGACATCCAGAACGCCACAGCTCAGCCCATTCCCCTTTTTGCTGCTTCCTCTTTTATTCACTAGATACCAGTGGAGTCCTCCATGCAGCCCCTGGATAGCAGGGTCAATTTTTAGGTTAAATCTCAGATCCTAAAACCACTTGGCAATATCCAAGTTGTCTGTGCCATCCAAATCACTGACAGACCACAGCTCCGTGTCTCCGTTTTTAGTATTTTCATGCAGGTTCTTCTACATGTTGGAGTTTAGTCCAGTTCTGCATCCTTCCTTCCAAAGCAAAGGGCTCCAGGATTATCTTCTATATCTGTACTAATTAGTTCCCCCTTTCTTTGTTGAAGAGGATCTGTGTAGTTTGGCTGTGTATTCCACCATCTTGCTGGAATTCCTCCAACTCTTCGTTTCTTGAGTGGTGCATTTAATCTCTTGACATTCAATGTAATTATCAACAATTATGGATTTGTTGCTGTTATTCTGTTATGTGCTTTTTCATGGTGTTATTGATTTCTTTGTTCCATATAATTTTCTGTGCCGAGCTTGTTTTGCTTATGAATCATATTATCATTTGCTTTGTTGCTATTGTTTTAATAATTGCTAAATATTTGTGCTTGCCCTCTTTTTTATTTTGATGTGAAGGTTTATCATTTCTCTTTGAGGCTACCCTGTGATTTATAATTTTCTTCCCAAGTTTAGAACAGTCCATTTTACCTTGTGGTTGTCTTGACTTCCCTACCATTTAGAAGTTCTGTAACGACACACCTTTTTCCCTCTTTTGGGTTTGTAGTTATCCTCATTTGTCAATTGATGTCTCTGGTTCCCTGTTTACAATCTTGTAGGCTTATTTACTTTGGATACTTCCATAACTGAGTTGGTTTCTGGGTTATGTCATCATGTGTGTTAATGGTCGATTGTTGTTTGCTGTTGTTGGTTCTCTGTCCAAAGGACTCCCTTTACTTTCTTTTGTAAGGTTGGTCTGATTTGAAAAAATTCCTTTAATTTCTGCTTATCTGGAAATGCCCTAATTTCACCATCATATTTGAAGGAAAATTTCACTGCATATATAATTCTTGGTTGGTAATTCTTTTTCATTCAGGGTTTTATATATAACATTCTATTGTCTTCTTGGTTGTATGGCTTCTGCAGAGAAATCCAAGCTTAGTCTTATTTGTTACCCCTTATAGGTAACTTTTCGTTATTCCTGTGCCAGTTCAGTATTCCTTGTCTTTGGTTTTGGTGAGTTTGATGATGATCTGTCTTGGTGATTTTCTCCTGGGGTCTATCCTGTTTGGGGTTTTTGGACTTCTTGAATGGATATACTCTCATCTTTCATCATACCAGGGAAATTCTGTTCCAACAAATCTTCAACAATTTTCTCTGTGGTTTTATTTAGCTCTTCCTGTTCTGGAATTCTGATTACACATGGGTTTTTCCTTTTGATGACAACCCAAATGAACTTTAGGTTTTCTTCATTTTGTTTTGATCTTTTCTCTGATTGACCTCTTTCCAAAGAAGTATTGAGGTATTTGTCTTCAATCTCACTAAGTTGTCTTCCATTGATTCAATTCTACTCCTTTGCTTGTTCGATGAATTATCTATTTCTGAGAATTTAGTATTATTCTTCTGGATTTTTATCTGTAGATTTTGTATCATTTCTCATTGTCATTTATTTTGTCATTTTTTCTTATATTGTCTTTTGAAATTGTTCTAGATTTTTGTCTGTGTTTTCCTCAATTTTGTCAGTGTTTTAGTTGATCTGTCTCTCAATCCATTGAAGGTACCTAAATATAATTCTTCTGAATTCCTTATCAGGGAGTTCCAATGCTGCATCTTCCTCAGGGATGTGTTCTGGGTCTGTATCCTGGTCCCTTGTTTCTCTTGCTTTTTCTTGCTTCTCTATGTGGACTGTGATGTTGTGTTTGTCTCTGAGACTTTGTAGCATTTTTGTGTTTATATTTAATTGGTGATTGTATGTTGAAGCAATTTGCCCAAGATTTTTATTTTCTTTGTTTTGTTCAAATGTTATCTATGTAAGCAGGATACTGTATTCCTGTAGATGCTAGTTAGCAGCCCTTATACACTTCCTACCTGTCTCCTTTCCTGTTGTCAGCCCCCCATATGTCTCTGCTGTCCTTGGCAAGTGGAGCCTATTCTTAGGTCCTGTTTTCATTCAGATTCTTTCACTAGTTAGTGCCTAATCCACTTCTGTATACTTCCTTTCAAAGCTTAGGGCTCCAGGGTTATCTTCTGTATCTCTGTCAACCGGTTTCTTTTTTCTTTGTTGCAAAGGGTTTGTGTAGCTTTTCTAAGTATTCCACCATCTTACCAGAAGTCCATATATCTTGTTTTTTTAAAAAATGCTAAGATTCACCACTTTTAACAACTATCAGTTATTGATCAGCCATATCTCAGGCACTTTGCAAGCATTATTGGTCCCCCTCACTGTCACTTGCTTGGTGACACTTTCTTCCACAGGTTTCAGTCAAGGTCACCTAGGTGAAGTAACTTGCCCAAGGCCCTTAGGTAAGTCACTCTCTGAAAGTGTAATCTTCTTTGTGACAACTGTACTTCTTTCAAAACAGGAATCTTTCTTCTTATGTTCGGTAACAGGCCATTTTTTATAACTTCATTTAAATAAAGTCAATTCACTTTACTAAAGAAGATATACAGGCATCCAACAAACACATGAGAAAATGCTCACAATCACTAGTCATTAGAGAGATGCAAATCAAAACAATGAGATATCATCTCACCCCAGCAGTAAAAGCAAAGCTCAACAAGGCAGAAAATAACAAATGCTGGTCAGGATGTGGAGAGATTAGAACTCTCATTAACTGCTGGTGGGACTATAAAATGGTTCAGCCACCATGGAAAATGACACGGAATTTCCTTAAAAAAATTAGAAATAGAAATAGCATTTGACCCAGCAATTCCACTACTAGGAATATATCCTAAAAAAGTGAGATCCAGGACATGATCATATGTACACCCATGTTCATTGCAGCGCAATTCACTACAGCAAAGAGATGGAAACAACCTAAGTGCCCATCAACAGATGAATGGATAACCAAACTATGGTACATTCATACAATGGAATATTATGCAACATTAAAGAATAATGAAGAATCCACAAATCACCTGGAAAAATTTGGAGGACATTATGCTGAGTGAAATAAGTCAATCACAGTAGGATGAATATTATATGAGTCCATTATTATAAAAAGTCAAGGAAAGGTTTATGCAGGAATGTATGTTTACCATCTTTTTTGGTTACCAGGGATGGGAGGGAGGGAGAGGGAAATTTGATGATTAGTTAAGAGTCATGTTTTGATTTGGGTGAAGGAAAAGGCAATATAACAAAAGGTATATTTTTATATATCATGTGACCAGCACAGTAACAACAGGAAAATGAGGACACAGAAACATGCACAAAAGATATAGACAACTGAGGGAAATACAATTACATACACAATACTACATTACCAGTAACAACAAACACTAGTGTATGGGTAAATACATAGACAGGTGAGAAGATCAGGTGTGGGTAGGTGAACAGGAATATACCCATGACCATAGATAGATTTGTCTGATGATATCCTTACACGTGTATTTGTGCTACAAAATTTATCCATATACATTACAGAAGTAACAGAAGGCAAGGTTGTAGTAGCTTCTGCATGATGACTAAGCACCTTGAGGGAGTGAGTCTCCAGGCCTGCAGGCTTGGAATCATGGGATTAGGGGATATCAAGCTCAGTTGGCACAACATAGTAAATAAAAATCTTGTTCTATATTCTACTTTGGTGAGTAGTGACAGGAGTCTTAAAAAACTTTTGATCAGCCATCTAAGATGCAACTATTGGTATCCCCTTGTGTGGAGCAAAGGAGAGTAAAGAAAATCAAAGTCATATGGCAATTACTCCAACGGACTGGTGGACAAGGGGAACCTCAGCCTTCATGACTCTGAAACAAGATAAACTAGACAGTGCCCAACTACCAATGCCTACCACTGGGAAAGGGGTCAAAATTGGAGATCCAGGATAGAGTGGGAGGAAAAATGTGGAATAAAATTCAAAAACACAAAAATGACCAGAAGTAATGGTTGGATAGAGATTGGTAGAACCCCTGAGACTATGATCCTGGGTTATCCTTTGGACCTGGACTCATTTCCATGGATTAGGTCTCTGCCAAACAGTAGAAAGACCTATAAGCAGAACACCTACACCAGGAAGATGCACTCAAGGAGCTCTGGTAGCATAGTGCCTAACGCACTTGACTGCTAACCAGAAGGCTGGCGGTTCAAACCCACCAGCCACTCCTCGGAAGGAAGGTTGGGCAATCCTACTTCCGTAGTGATACTGCCTCGGAAACCCAAGGAGGGGTCGCTATGAGTCAGGGCCGACTCGACGGCAAATAACAACAACACCCTAGAGAGATGCACCCCTTAGATCAATCAACCATGAGATATCAGAAGGGCAGCATTTGCATAGAGGAAAAGCTGGAGAGATAGAAATCCATGGATAAGAAGGACATAGGGAAGGAGTACTCATAGGGAGGAGATGGGAGGAGAGCTTTCTTTTTTTGTTGGGATTGTAATCAGGGCCGTGAAACTAAATGTGCATGAACTGTTGAAAGTAAAATGAATCTGCTTTGTAGATTTGCACTCAAATCACAATAAAAAATTAAAAAATAAATAAATCATCTTGCTTCATCCCTATGAAAATAAAGGCAATTTTTAAGGAATCTAACTCACCATCTTGCGTCTGTGTACAGGAGTTTAGAGGTCCGAGGCTTGGTTAAAGATGTCAGGTCTCCGAAGGGATTGTCAATATCATCAGCATTTGTGGACTCCACATAACCACTGTTGGGTGAAAAGAGAAAGAGAAGAAGACGTGTTTGCTTTTAAGAAAAACAGATAAACAATGTTCCAAATTTAATTTGAAATCTCCTTTGTAAAAACAGATCAAATCTCAAAATCCAAAACTAAACCACTCTCTTAAATGAGGCTAGATGATGGAACAATTTGTCTTTTCAAAAGAAAGAAATAGTGATTATCTCTTCTTTGAGTAAGAGTTATTAAGATCTTATGCTCTCAAGTTTGGACCAAAGTAAGAGTAACTACTGAGTGAAGAAATAGGCAGTTTGGCTAGCTCAGAGATATCCCTCCAGGCAGACTGAGAGGAAGCCCAGGGCAAGGCAGAGATCCAGAGTTGTTGGTTAGAGCTACTAAGAACCCTATAGGAATGGAAGGTTGGGCCGGGGATTGGGGGTCTGGGCAACAAGCTATGTGGCTTCAGGAGTATGAGAGGAGATCCTAGAAACTGAGTCTATGACTGTCAGGGAGAGAGTATCCGAGGGGCACTTTGGGGCTACTCAGAAACACTTGTCAACTGTACTGTACTGAAAAGGCATTAATAATGGGTTAGAAGACTAAACGTCTAGAACCCTCTGTTTTTCTTGGATCTACTTTGTTCCAAGGTTATTCTTTAATCTGAAGCAGAAGGGAAAGTCCAAAAAGGATGAATGTTTTTCTACCATAGAAAGTCTGATTTAAAGTTAGAAAAATAAGATGGTACATTCCTCCTCACTTCAGTGTTAGTAAGCACATCATACTCTCTTCATCATGTATAACAGTGTTTCTGGTTGACAACATCAAATAGTGGATTTTTTTATATTATAAAAATATAAAGTTATTTTATATTATAAAATAGTCGATTTAGGAAAACAGAAAAATACCACTCCTTTCTTTCATCAAAATTTTTAACAAACCTTTGATAAAATTCCTGATATTAGAAGGTGCTGTGCCAAGAGAACTTTAGAAGTCTGTAGGAGCACACATTGTTTTAAAAATTGAATTAAAGCATCAAGGATGGAAAGGAAGTATAATTTAGAAGTAAATCTAATATTTTAAAAAACATTATAAAACATTACTTACGTATAGAGAGGAATATATTTACTTCTAGAACTTGGACTCACACTTAGAAAAAGAGAAAATATGGACAATTGGTTTATCGATATTATCTTAATGAACATCAAATAATCACAATATTTTAAAAAAGACATTACAATTAAAATAATAACAAAGTATATAACTCATAGTAATTGATTTGCAAAAGTTTGGAATTGTGAAGAAGAATGATTTAAAGTAATTTTTAAGTGATGAAAATCACAAACAGAATAATTTGACCCCAAATTACTATTGACACACATGTCTCTCTGCTGACTTTCACTTATGATTTAGCTCTTTTTCAAAGCCCTTCCTCTGGCATCTTGCTTTTGATGTACTCTTCCTCAATGATGAGAAATGCAGTATTTGGCAAAGTTGGACCTCTAATTTTCCTGGACAAAGAATTTTAACATTCAAATGGATCTTACTGACCGACCATCCATTCTAATCTCCATTATAGAGATGAGGTAGCTGTGGCACATAAAGAAAGTAACTTCCTCAATATCACAGTTATTTCTGGGCACTATAAGATGCTCCAGATTCATCTTGTATTTTGGTGCTCTAGGTCTAGAACCAGCCATTACTCCAAGGAACTGTGGTTCTTTTTATTGGATAGTGGTATTAGAAACTAGGTCTGGGCACTAGGCCTGTTGTGGCTATTGGAGTGTCTTTCACTGCTTCTAGGCTCTCTACATGGACAGAACTAGGAAAAAATATATATATGTGCAAAATCCCATGTACATATCTACATTTATTTATTTATTTATCAATCTCCCTCTCTAAATTTACAGGATATCTCCTACTGTAATTCACACAGTTCATTCTAGCCTTTCTCTTACTTAATTGCAATTTCTTCCTTTGACTAAGAAACCTGGCTTCCCTTATTGACAAAATATTTACTAATTTGTTCAACTTTAATATATGTGTAAATAGTTTCAAAATTACCAAGCATGTCTCTATGAGAAAGAAAATATGCCAACTGTAGTGTTTATATACAGTTCTTCTTATATTTACCCTTACAGTATCTAGTTCAAATACTCTACTCAAATTTAAATAGATCAGCTCAGCTCTTTCCCCAACCCACTTAGGTATGGTTATGCCATTTATTTTTAATACAGATTCATTCTTCATAATCTTCATCATACTAGATTCTTTCACTATCCTGGTAGATTTTTCTTTTCTCTCTCTTTAATTACATTATATTCAGTAAATTTTATTATTTGCAATATATAGTATACAGTATATAGTTATATGGAGTCATATCACATAGAACAGTTCCATCACCCTAACTATTCCTTTTACAGGTCCTTTGTAACCCCTCACTTATCTCCAAATCCTGCCAACCACTGATCTATTTTTCATTCCTATAGTTTTGCCTTTTCCAGAATGTCAGATAAGTAGAATCATACATTATGTCCCCTTTCAAGATTGGCTTATTTTATCTGTAAAACTGCATTTAAGATTCATCCATGTTTTTTGTGTTACATTTGTTCCTTTTTCATTGCATGGATGGACTACAGTTTGTTTATCCATTCACCTAGTGAGGGACATCTTGGTGGTTTCCAGGTTTTGGCAATGAGGAATTAAAAAAAAAAAAAAAAGTTGTTATTGAGTTGATAGCAAGTCATGAGGACCTTGTGTGCTACAAAGCAGAAGTACCCTATTGGGTTTTCCTGGCTATAATCTTTATAGAAGAAGATTGCCTGGCCTTTGTTCCATGGTGCCACTGGGTGAGTGTAATGCATCAACTTTTATGTTAGTAATTGAGTGAAAATTACTTTCATAACCCAGGAACTTGATGATAATGAATAAAGCTTCTATAAATATTCACATACAGATTTTTGTGTGAACTCCTAGGAGGAACATACTCATAGAGGAATGTTCCAAGATGAATTGTACCCTCTGGAGTTATAGATGTGGCAATACTTACAAAGAGATATTACTTTTAATTTATCAACTGCTTTTTCACCAAAAACAAAAACACGCAGTGGATCTATATAAACTGGAATTTTTTAAAATTAACATCTGTGTAAACTATTTTCTATTCAACCACACGTACATAAATAAAAAGATGTTAATACAGTTTCCTTATGAAAATTTCTGTAATACTAAGGATTAGTACCAATAAAGTTACATCTGTATTCATTTAAAAATATTTGAATGGGATTATTAACAATTCAGCTTGATATGTTTATAAGGATCTTATAATTTTTTATTTTAATATTTTATTTAAATGACTAACATTCAGTTTATATATTGGGATCTATTAGTTATATTGGGATGTTTTACACTTTTGCAAAAGCCATATTTTAAATAAACTGTATAAAAAATCATACCCATTATTTTTAGAATATGGCCCAATAAAATGTAAGCTTACAGACAAGACTCAATGTTTTTCTCAGTATTGTTACTATTTGCATTTTCACAACCAGTAGTCAAACTTGATCAGGACTTTGTATTTTTCCATTTCATTCCTCTTTTTCTTCTAACAAGACAATTTATTTTAAGGGTCATTTATATTGGTTTCATTGAGGTGGTACAATTGTCAAATATTTAAAAAATGTTATCTTTGATAATGTTTTTTAATTACTGGAATTTAGTAAAAAAAATTCTCATTAATTTTGCTAACTCTAGGCCAAAGCCTCCTACACTTTGCTTTGAAACTAGATGTGATTATATAATAATCAAATGAAATGTTTAACATTAACCCTACCAATCGAGGTGATGATCAAACTGACCATGATAAAACCAGAAAATCAGAAGAGACTCCAATCAGCAAAAGATGGAATAAATTCTTCTTGGACAACCTGTGTTTGGCTTTTTTTTGCAGTCTGTAACTCACTGTATTCTTCATAATTGATTACAAAATTTGTCAAAATATATACAATTCTATATAAAGTTCCATGTGATTCATTCTGATATTTTCTATTTTATTTAATTTTTATAAAATGTTGATGTAACTCGCCATTGGCAACTAACAGGCTAAAAATCTCTGCCTTTCTCAAAATGGGCTCTAACAATTAATTATTCATGTGAATGGACTGGATCCCTCAATTATACCTCAAGCGAAATCAATTTCAACTGGTTTAAAAGGATAAATATGAAAAGAAAAACTATAAACCTCTTAGAAAGAAAAAGTGAGAATATCTTTATTACTTCAGGGCAAGGACATATTTCTTTAAAACTTCACAAAAAGCATAAACCTTGAAGCAAGACGCTAATAAATTCAACTACTTTAACATTAAAATTTTCAGTTTAAGAAAACACCATAAAAGTAGAAGACACACTGATTAGAGAGACTTTGATGCATATTAACAATAAAGGATCTTTATCCAGAATATTAAATATAAAATTACCTATAATCAATAAGTAAAAGGCAACACAACAGCAAAAGGGGCAAAATATATAAGCAGTCAAGTTATAGAAGTGAAAATCCAAAAAAACAATCAACTTAAAAAAATGCTCATTAGCAATCTGGTACAGGTAAGTTAAAATAACAATGAAGTACAGTTTCACACTCATCAGGTTGACAATTTTTTTTGAGCATTCCAAATGATGGAATTTGAGCATTACCAAATGATAGTGTGAAGTGAGAGGAATTCAATTATTTGCTGATGGGAGAGTCCATTGTTACAACTCATTTGGAGAAGAATATGGCAATATTTAGAATATAAAGAAATGCATACCTATTGACCCAGCAATTCCAGACATAGCATGTATATACAAAACCCTGAAATAGTTTCACATTTGCATATATGGAGCTATGGGAGCACTGCTTTCAATTGCGAGAAAAATCAGAAGAAATGATAAATTATAAAAATTGGTGCATAAATTTTGGTAAATCCAAACTATACCTAGAGATACAGATATCATGAATACCTAGAGATACCGATATCAAACTATATGAATCTTGCAAACACAATACTGAATAAAAAATATTAAATTGTATATGCATTATATCAGCTACATCAAGTTTATAAACATGAACATAGTACATATATTGATAAACAATATGATATATTTTAAAGAGGAGCTCTGGTAGCATAGTGCCTAAGGCACTTGACTGCTAACCAGAAGGCTGGCGGTTCAAACCCACCAGCCACTCCTCGGAAGGAAGGTTGGGCAATCCTACTTCCGTAGTGATACTGCCTCGGAAACCCGAGGAGGGGTCGCTATGAGTCGGGGCCGACTTGACGGCAAACAACAACAACAACAATATTTTAAAGTGTTAAAGAAATGCACAGCTATATTAAACATCAAATCCAGAACAGTAATGATGATCCCTGAGGAAGGCAGATATGCATAGAGAAAAGTATACGTGGGCATCCATGGTGTTGGTAACATACTATTTTGAAATTATATCATATTATTATTCATATATTTTTGTATATATGAAATATTCAAAGGTAAATTAAAAAAAATAAAAACTTTTATTATGAACTGGATTGTGGGTTATGGTCAGAATAAAAGTAGAGAGAAAATTGTGACATTTTCAAAGGCAAAAACAAGTTTTTTAGATTAAACACACAAAATTACATATATGGCAATATTAGTAGTAAGCCTATAGTTTCTAGCCTATAAAATAACTGTATGATACAAAATTATATGATACAAAACTTGATAAAAATAGCTATTAGAATTCCTTTTATATGAACTTCATTAATTATTGCAACACTATAATTTTTCATAAGGAGCTCTGGTGGCGTAGTGTCTAAGGCATTTGATTGCTAAACAGAAGGTTTGCAGTTCAAAACTCCAAGCTGGTCTGTGGAAGGAAGACTGGGCAATCTACTTCCGTAAAGATTTACCGCCTGGGAAACCCAAAGGAGGTCACTATGAGTTGGAATCCACTCGAAGGCAGTGAGTTTTGTTTTGTTTTTGTACTTTTTCATATAAAATTATTTTTAAAGGAGTCCACACTTTAAAATGTTTGTGGTATACTTAATGCAGTAATTTTAAAAAGGATCAAGAGGAAATGAAAGAAAGCAGGCTGCACGGCATAAAAATGGGATTTGGGCTATTTTTCAAGTCATAATGATTGGAGCCTCAGGATTTCTGGAATTCTTTCCAACAAAAGATATGCATCCTCCCACTCCATCTCTTTAACCTATGGATTATAGCATCAGATTCTTAATTATAAATGATAGTAAAAAATCTAATAATGAGAACATTAGAGATAAAACTTACAAGGTAATTGGTTTGACTGGTGCCAAGAACGATCTTGCTTGAAATCTGTCCCAGAGTCCACCAACCATCTAAAATCATCACCAAAACCAATGTCAGATATTGAATGAATACATCATTGTAAGTTACAATGTATAAACATTAGCACCTTAAGCAGCCATCTCTGCACAACAGCCAAGTCCCTGCTCATACAAGTATCTCTAGAAATTCCGAGTTTGGCTCTAGAGCCATTGCTGCTCTCTGCTCTGCTCTCAGAGCCTCGATTTCAGTGTGTCATCTCATAGATAGAGTCTGGCTCATTATCCAGTTCCTTCATATGGACGCCCATGTGAAAGGTCTGGTTTTAGTTTCTATCAGTAGATCCACATTGGCCAACACTCTACAACCCCAGGCCATTCTTTTCTTTCCAGGTCAGCTCAGATCCTAAGTTTTGAACCTCATGTTACCTAGACAGTGACTTTGGATACTAACATAATTTGACACCATGGAATATAAAATCAAGTTTTAGATTTTTAATGGAATTATAAGTTTTCACAAGATATAAAAATAATTTGAAATAGTTTAGAGATTTTTAAAAAATAGTTACAAGGAACCATGCATACTTTTTTTTCCTTTAATTTATTTTAATTTCTATGTGAAAATCTTGGGCTGAAGTCTTTGCATTAAATCTGTTTTTCTTCTCTTGTTAACATTTTTCATTTTAGAACTGAAGAGATTGTATAAGGTAATGTGACTTCCTTTACTTGGGGCCTATGTTCCCATTAAGGGTCTAGTTTACAATTGTATTTCACTATAATTGGTTTCCTTTTTAATACTTTGCATTTTATATATCCAAAAACTTCATTATGAAAAGTAATTAAAGGACTTATCCAGATTTTTTAATGCGTATATATGGCACAAAAAGATGAGGGAATCAACAGAAACAGAAGGTGCTTTGTAAGCTTATAGCAGGGACATTTAATTCAGTGTTGGCTGTTCACAAATGGGGTCTAAGATCAAACCTGAAGATAATGAAGGATACAGAGAGTCATGCAAGCAGTGGACCACCATTTGCAAAAGATGTCAACTGAAGAAAACACATGGCACACTTGATTTGAGAGTTCAGCAGAGATAAGATTGAATATATTGTAGGGGGTGATGTTTGGATAGCAGCATGAAAGAGCAAAAGAAAGAAAGTGAGAGGAAAGAGGCTGAGGAATTATGAGCCAATAATGGAAATTTGGGTATGAGTGTACCAAGAATATGACCTTAATTTTATTTTTTTTCTAATGATGGATTTTAATAAATGGAATAAGAAAAACAGACTTAGCTTTAGAAAAATAATGTTGGCTACAGTGTTGATATAATAATCCAGAATAATCTAGAATTCTTCTAGATGCTCAGAGATGAAAAGAACAGCCATATCTACTGACCACTTGGTATGCTTCATTTTGTTAGATAATAAAAGTTGTATGACATATGGATTTCCCATTCTGCCTTGAAAAGTACAGAGCTAAATCCTAGATTCAATTTCAGGAACTATTTTTATGAGAATAGAATACAGATTTTCTGGCAGAATCATCTCTGCCCGTTCTCATCATTATTTACTCATTTTATGATTCAATTTTATAAATAAATGAAGTCATTACCTCTGTGTGTATAATGATAAGCTTCTCAAATTACTTTTGGGAGAGAGGCAGACTTTTAATAGTGAATAAAATTTTTCAATATTAGTAATATTAAATAATATGCAATCATCAATGAATTTTATGATTATAGACATATACGTGTACATGTATCAGAAGAGACTCTAAAATTGTTCTTGAACAGAGAGTGGCAAAAGGAAGAAATATTGAAATAATACAGCTGAACACAAGATATCAAAGGGCAGCTAGAGAAGACAAAGTAAAGTATTATAATGAAATATGCAAAGATGTGGAATTAGAAAAACAAAAGGGAAGAATACACTCAGCATTTCTCAAGCTAAAAATACATAAGAAAACATTCAAGCCTCAAATAGCAATATTGAAAGATGCAATGGAAAATGCAACACACTGCTGTGGAGTCGATCTGACTTACTGAGACTCCTCTTTGGGTTTCCAAGGTGGTATCACTATGGAAGTAGATTGCCCAACCTTCCTTCTGAGGGGGGACTGGTGGGTTTGAACCGCCAGGCTTCTGGTTAGCAGTCAAATATTGAACAATGCAGAAAGTATCAAAAGAAGATGGAAGGAATACACAGAGTCCCTGTACCAAAAAGAATTGGTCAATGTTCATCCTTTTCAGTAGGTGGCATATGATCAAGAACCAATGGTATTGAAGGAAGAAGTCAAAGGAATTTGTGAAAAACAAGGCTCCAGGAATTGACAGAATACCTATGGAGCTGTTTCAACAAATGGATGCTTTCCTGGAGGCACTCATTCAGCTCTGCCAAGAGATTCTGCCAACTGACTGGAAGAGATTCATATTTGTACCCATTCCAAAGAAAGGTGATCCCACAGAATGCAGACATTATCAAACCATATCATTAATATCACATGCACGTAAAATCTTGCTGATGATAATTCAAAAATGGTTGCAACAGTATATTGACAGAGGACATCCAGAAATGCAAGCTGGATTCAGAAGAAGATGTGGAATGATGGATATGATTGCTGATATTAAATGGATCTTAGCTGAAAGCAAAGAATACCAGAAAAATGTCTACCTGTGTTTACTGACTATGCAAAGGCATTCAATTGTGTGAATCATAACAAATTATGGATAACATTGAAAAGAATTGGAATTCCAAAACATTTAATTGTGCTCATGAGGAACCTGTACATAGACCAAGAGGCAGTTGTTTAAACAGAACAATGGTATACTGCATGGTTTAAAATTAGGAAGGGTGTGTGTCAGGGTTGTATCCTTTCACCATACTTATTCATTCTGTATGCTGAGCAAATAATCCAAAAATCCTGACTAGATGAAGAAGAATGAGGCACTGGTATTGGAGGAAGACTCAAACTTGCTTGCTGAAATTGAAGATAACTTAAAGCACTTGCTAATGAAGATCAAAAACTACAGTCTTCAATATGGATTACACCTCAACAAAAATAAAACAAAAATTCTCGCAACTGGACCAATAACCAACATCATGAGAAATGGAAAAAAAGATTGAAGTTGTCAAAGATTTCATTTTATTTGGATCCATATTCAACACCCACTGAAGTAGTAGTCAAGATACCAGATATGGTATTGCACTGGGCAAATCTGTTGTAAAAGACCTCTTTAATGTGTTGAAGAGCAAAGATGTCACTTTGAAGACTAAGGTCACCTAACCCAAGCCATGGTATTTTCAATCAACTCATATGGATTTGAAAGCTGGACAATGAATAAGGAACACCAAAGAAGAGTTGATGCCTTTGAATTGTGGTGTTGATGAAGAATACTGAAAATACCATGGACCTCCAGAAGAACAAATTGATCCTGGAAGAAATGTATCTGGAATGCTCCTTAGAAGTGAGAATGGCCAGACTTCATTTCACCTACTTTGGTCATGTTACTCGATGAGACCATACCCTGGAGAAGGATATCAGGCTTGATAAAGTGTAGGGTCAGAGAAAATGCACAAAATCCTCAAGGAGATGGATTGATACAGTGGTTGCAATGATGGGCTCAAGCATAGCAAGGATTGTGAAGATGGTGCAGGCTCAGGCAGCATTTCATTCTGTTGTACGCAGGGTCACTATGAGTTGGAATATACCTAATGTCACCTAACAACATCATGTGTATGTGTATTTGGTTCTTTCAGTAATTCTCAACAATAAAATAAGCATTGCTGTGACTAAATAGTTTTGGAGTTCAGTTCAGTAACAGAAATAATAAGCTGTTAATCAGCAATGTTCGCTAACCTGCGTTATCGCTGGCAATCTTTCATATCGCTTCAGTGTAGAATATTGTGAGATGAGATCACTACCTTTTTCCACTGTTGTTTCTTTTGGATCAAGTTTTGGTGGTAGCATCTTGTCCCAAGGAACATCTTCATAAGCTCTATGATATTATCAAACAAGAACATTTTATTTAAAAAGTATGTATTCACTTGATATGATTCATAACAATACCATATAGATGGTAGGTAGAATTCTACAAGGTTCCCAAGATTCTCATCTTCATTTAAGAGTGGGTAGGACTGTGAATATGATGCAAGATCACTCACATGATTATGTTATGTTATATAAAAAAGAGATTTTGCACATACAATTAATATTCATACTCAGGTGATTTTGAGTTGATCAATAAGGAGATTATCTTGGCTGGGCATGACCAACACAGTTGAAGTGTAAAATGAGACAAAAAATAGTAGCAGATGGATTTGGATTCCAGGGACCTAAAAACAGGCTCAATTTGCCAAGGACAGCAAGGACATACAGGAGGCAGACAATGGAAAAGGATACAGGAGGTAAGTGTATAAGTGCCACCAACAAGCAAATAGAGGAGCACAGCACCATACCCTGCTTATGTAGATATATACAAAGAAAATTAAAATTGTGGGCAAGTCACTCCAGCATATAATTACCAATTAAACATTAACACAAAAACATCAAGATGCTGCAGAGATAAGAAAGCATCACAATCCACACAAAGAAGCAAGATAAAGCAGAAGAAACAAGGGACCAGGATACAGATCCAAAACATATCCCTCAGGAAGACACAGCATTGGAAATCCCTGATAAGGATTTCAAATGAATCATATTTAGGTACCTTCAACAATTTGAGAGACAGATCAAGGAAAACTGACAAAATTGAGGAAAACACAGAGAAAACCCTACAACAATTACAAAAGTCAATATAAGAACAAAATGACAAAATGAATGAAAAATGAGAAATGATACAAAATCTGCAGACAGAAATCCAGAAGATTAATACTAAATTTTCAGAAATAGATAAATCATTGAATGGGCAAAAGAGTAGAATTGAATCAATAATGGAAGACAGAATTAGGGAGATTGAAGGCAAAAACCTCATTACTTCTTTGGAAAGGGAACAATAAGAAAAAAGGTCAAAATAAAATGAAGAAAGCTTAAGGTTCATGTGGGATACCATCAAAAGGAATAACCTATGTGTAATTGGAATTCCAGAACAGGAAGAGACAAATAAAACCACAGAGAGAACTGTCGAAGATTTGTTGGAAGAGAATTTCCCTGGTATGATGAAAGATGAGAATATATCCATTCAAGAAGTCCAATGAATCCCAAACAGGATAGACTCCAAAAGAAAATCACCAAGACATATCATCATCAAACTCACCAAAACCAAAGACAAAGAAAGAATACTGAAAGCATACAGGAAACGAAAAGTTACCTAAAAGGGGAAACCAATAAGAATAAACTTGGATTTCTTGGCAGAAACCATGCAGGGAAGAAGAAAATGGGGTGGTATATATAAAACCCTGAAAGAAAACAACTTCCAAACAAGAATTTTATACCCGGCTGTTCTGGTTACCTAGTACCACTCTGACAAGAATATACCACAAATGGGATGGCTTGAACAAACAGGAGTTTATTCTATCACAGTTTGGAGGCTTTAAGTCCAAGTTCAAAGTGCCAGGCTCTATGGGTTAGGTGAAAGCCCCTTGACCTTGGGCTTCAGCTCTGTCTCTTGCTTCCAGCACACTGAAGCTAGAGGTGTCTCTTCACTCACACAGCTACTGGCTTCTGAGGCTAAGAAGCCTAAGGTCGACAAATAAAAAGGCACAGTTCCGATGTTACCAAACCACATGGTAGGCCATTAATTTAAGTTCATTGTAAGTCCCATGGTTGGCAGAGCATGGCAGGCAGCTGAACAGCAACATGGCTACATGCAGGGTCCAAGCATGCCATAAGCTACAGACTATTCCCCAAGGCTTCTGCTTATATACAGGAAGCAGACCACATTCCCGAAGGCAGCTACTCAGCTGCTCACAGTAGATTCCACCATGGAGTTGATTACCAGTATCATCATGCAGAATACTACATCCAGCTGCCCAGCCACTCAACCAGGCCCAGCCAAGTTGATACACAAACTCAACTACCATACCAGGTTCTAGTTTTCAGTGTTTCCTCTCTTCCCTATTCCTAGTTCCCACCTCTTTCTTTCTTTCTTGTGGTTCTCCCCATTCCTTGTATTTCTTTTTGCATTTTCCCACTTTTTTTCTTCATTATTCTCCTACTCTTATCTCTTTTCTCTTATTCCCCCCACACCAGATATTGCAAGTTTTTTTTTCTTTTTCTTATTCCCCCCACTTTTCTATGCATGTTTCTTTTAGCTTCTTAAAGTATTTCTTTAAATATGTTCTCTCATTGATTGCCTCTTCTTCTTCTTTTTTCTCTTTTTAGTGATTGTTCCTGTGTGTTTATGCGTTGTGTGTTTTTTGTCCTCTTGATTTTAATTTTGATGGTTTTTCGATTGTTGTTTTGTCTAACTGAGTGGGAGACAGCAACAGTACCTGTACAACACAACCATGCCTTTACCTTCTGCACCTTACTGAGTGACATCCACCACTTCCTTCTGCACCAACTGACCAATGATACATGACCAGCAATAACAGCATGCCTCACCCTTAACTGCTCTTCACAAGCAGTTAACAGAGATCTGCACAGCCACTCTCATTCTCTATAACAGCCACCAGGAGACAGGTGGTGAGTGCATATGAGTTCTGCTAACAAGCCCATAGAGGAACACAGTATCCTGCTTATTCAGATACATACAAAAAAAGAAAGAAAGAAAATGAAAATCTTTGGCTAATTACTCAAGCATAAATCACCAATTAAACACAACACACAATGTCTCAGAAACAACAGACCATCGCAGTCCACACAAAGAAACAAGATAAAGCAGTAGAAAAAAGGGAGGAGGATATAGACACAGGACACATCCCTGAGGGAAGAAGGAGCATTTGAACTCCCTGATAAGGAATTCAAAAAAATTACATTTAGGCACCTTCAATGGATTGAGAAATAGATCAAGGAAAACACTGACACAACTAAAGAAAACAGACAAAACCCTAGAACAATTTTGGAAGAAAATACAAGAACAAAATGACAAAATAAATAAAAAACTAAAAATGATACAAAATCTGCAGATAGAAATCCAGAAGATTAATACTAAATTTTCAGAAATAGATAACACATTGAAGGACAAAGTAGTAGAATCAAATCAATGCAAGACAGAATTAGTGAGATTGAAGACAAATACCTGAGTACTTCTTTGGAATGGGATCAATAAGAAAAAATATCAAAATAAATGAAGAAAGTCTAAGGCCCATGTGGGCTATCATCAAAAGTAATAACCTACACATAATCAGAATTCCAGAAGAGGGAGAGAAAAAGAAAACCACTGTGATAATTGTCCAAGATTTGTTGGAAGAAAACTTCCCTGATGTGATGAAAGATGAAAATATATACATTCTGGTAGTCCAATGAACCCCAAAGAAATAGACTCCAAAAGAAAATCAGCAAGACTTGTCATCATCAAACTCACCAAAACTAAACACAAAGGAAGAATCCTGAAAAGCATCATGGGGAAAACAAAAGGTTACCTAAAGGGCAACCAATAAGACTAAGTTCTGATTTCTTGGCAGAAACCATGCAAATGAGAAGGCAATGGGATGATAAATATAAAACCCAGAAAAAGAAAAAATTTCCAACCAGCAATTATATACCCAGCAAAATTGTCCCTCAAATATGATGGTGAAATTAGAATATTTCATGATAAGCAGAAAGTAAGGGAATTTGTTAAAACAAGACCAACCTTACAAGAGATACTAAAGGGAGTACTTTGAACAGAAAACCAGTAATAGTGAAAAATAACCACCCATTAATACACACGATGACATAACCTATAAACCAACACAGGTATGGAAGTATCCAATGTAAAACAAGTTTACAACATTGGAAACAGGGAACTAGAGACATCAATAGGCAAATGAGGATAACTACACACCAAAGAGAAGGAATAACTAGTGTAGTTACAGAACTTCTAAATCATGAGGAAGTCAAGAGAGTTGCAAGATAGAATGGACTATTCTATTATAATTTTCTCTGGGAAAAATTATAAATCACAGAGTAACCTCAAAAAAAAAAAAAGATGATAAATCTTCACATCACAATAAAAATGAGGACAAGCACAAATATTTAGCAAATGCTAAAACAACAGCAACAAAAGAAATGCTAACATGATTCATAAACAAAATGATTTCAGCACAGAAAATTATATGGAACAAAGAAATCAGCAACACCACAAAAAAACACATAAAATTACAGCAACAAATTCATACTTGTTGTTAATTATACTGAATGTCAATGGATTAAATGCATCACTCAAGAGACAGAGAGTTTCAGACTGGATAAGAAAACATAATTCGTCAATATGCTTTCTATAAGAGACACACCTTAGAGACAAAGACAAAAAAAGACTAAAAATCAAACGTTGGAAAAGTTGTATCAAGCAAGTGGCAACCAGACAAGAGATGGGGTGGCAATATTAATATCTGGTAAAATTGACTTTAAGAGAAAAACCACCCTAAGAGACAAAGGAAGGGCATTATACAATGATTAAAGGATCAATTGAACAAGAAGATATAGCCATACTGAATATCTATGGACCCAATGAAAGAGACCCAAAACACATAAATCAGACTTTAACAGAATTGAAAAGACAAATAGATGACTCCACAGTCATAGTAGGAGACTTTAATACACCATTTTCAATCAAAGATTGGACAACTGTAAATAAACACAACAAAGACACAGAAGAACTAAACAATACAATCCACAGACTTGACCGTACAGACATCTACAGAGCTCTTTACCCAACAACAGTACAACAGACATTCTTTTCAAATGTGCATGGAACATTCTCCATGACAGGTCATATGTTAGGCCATAAAGCAAGCCTTAATAAATCTTAAAACACTGTTATACTGCAATGCATCTTCGCAGATCACAATGCTATCAAATTAGAAATCAACAATAGAAAGATCAAAGGGAAAAGAGCAAACACATGGAAACTGA